ACACTAATAATTAGTGGAGACTAATTATATTAATTAAATTAATTGTATTTATTATTATTATTATTAGATTCATCGTTATTATCGTCTGTCTGGGGGTACATTAGATAAAGCAGCTGCTGAGGCTGCCAAAGGTGCTGCTGGTAACAAATATGTGAGAGACGCAACCAAAGGAGCAGTTAGAGCCGGAGTGAGTGCCTCAGTAGCAGCTGCCACTTCCAGTGACTGATTGGAATAATGGAGGAGAGGGAGGGAGTGCTGGCTGGAACTAATATATAGTGCTTGACTTATTATTATTATTATTATTATTATTAATGTTGTTGTTATTATTATTAATGTTGTTATTATTATTACTTGATTATTATTTGAAATTGTCACCTGTTTGATTTTATTATACATAAATGAATTCCTATTACTATTCCTAAGCTGTATAGCTAGCATTAAAATTAGTAACTTTTACCTCAACAATAAGTTGAAAGTAGGTAAAGAAACAAAGCAGACAAAATTGACCTTGATAAGTGGATGTGGTTTTGATAAGGAAGGAGGAGCTTGCAACTTCAGCACAATTGGCTTGTAACTTGTTCTTCTTTATATTGACTGTATCTTTTCATTTCTTTATCTTACAACAGTTGATCATTAACAGTGATAGAGGTAAGTATATTATAGTTCATTTTAATTATACTTTACTAATAATTACAAGATGATTGATGTCTCTCAATGGAGAGCAAGTATTGGACTGTGGAACTACTGTCAAGTTGCCTCCAGTAGACCAGCTAATGGCCGCCACTCTCACTCATTCAAAGCTGCAGTAGACAGCAAGTCAGGCAGTACTACATCAGGAGAGAAGACATCTAAACTGCCAGCAGCTCTGTCTCTTATTGCTTTACTCCTCCTCCTCTTTCTCTCTCTCTCTTTATTAAGACACATCTTGATGATTCCTCCAACAGGTAAACAACAATTGGAACTTTGTACTCGTATATTTACTGGTATTTTATTATTAGGTAACTGCTACCAAGTACAATGTACTACTGGTGTTACTGTTACTGATACAAATTACCTCCAGTCAGTAGTGTTAGCTGGAGGCAGGAGTTCTAACCTGATTTACAATGATCTCTATTTGATCGTTTGTATACGTATGCTCCTCCTCTTATCAGGAGATGTTGAACTCAATCCTGGTCCTATGATTGATGATCGACCATCTTGTCTCTTATTTGCAAAGTGTCTTAAACCACTTGTTGACTGGAAACCATTTGCTCATTGTCTTCCTGGAATAACACAATCTGATGTCAATATAATTGATAAAAAGAAAAGAAATGCTCACCTCATGAAAATGGCTTTACATAAGAGATGGTTGCTAGTTAATCCTACAGCATCATGGAGAGATGTCATTAATGTTTTGAAACAATGTAAAGAGAATGAACTAGCTAGAACTATTGAAGACAAAGTGACAGGTCCCACAGCTGGAAGAAGTATTAATGATGATGATATGGAAGTCAGTACCAGTAATGCTAATCCTGGTCCTATAACAGGTGAACATACACTTAATACAACACTCATTAACTGATACACTACTGCAGGTAATCCAAAGGATATATTAAGGACTCATTCTGTTAAACTTGTTGATAGTATTTC